ACACACACACACACACACACACACACACACACACACACACACACACATACACACAAAACAATCCCAGGTGAAGGTCATGGGATCCTTAGCATTGTTGATGTCATGAAGTCTTATCGCTTTAGATAACCCACGCTACATCCACTGGAATGTGTTTGTGCTTTGCCTTGTTTAGACGGCAGCCACAGAATGTCAACCACACGCTCGTGGCACACCCCTCTCAGATGTTAATGCACTGCACGCACAGGCAGAGTAACACAGAGCTCCATCAGATCCTGAACAATTTGTAATAGTTATCTTATTATTCAAAAATGCTTTCATGTAATACATTTTATCTTTCTGTATCTCTTCCAGTGATCCCGCCATGGAGATTGGGATCTTGGACTTATTTGGGTTTGAAGCATTTCAAAGGAATGGTTTTGAGCAGGTGGGATGGTCATCTCTCTTTTTTTTTTTCATTTTCTATAGATTAAATTTTTTTTTTAGATCAATTTAACTATGTTACATTATTATTCCCTTAAATTGAATTGCTGTGGCTATCACGAACTATCTTATATATAATTTATTGTAGTTTCATAATTGACCCAAGTCAAATAGTTTGAGGTCTTATCATTTGTAGCCTACATTTTTGTCTGTAATGCTTATGAATGGGTGGTGGTCTGAGGCTAGCTCAGCTGTCCTTAGATGAACTGCCGACTGACAGTGATCGTCTGTCAGCAAGATCTGGCCCACATTTACCGGATGTTTGTTGTAAATTAAGAACAAAGGCATCTTGTTTTTTGAGGGGAAAAATTCTGAAAATATAATACTAAGAGGATATAACCAAGAGAATGGGAAGGGGACCGGAAATGGAATGTAACAAGAGTGCACTCTGAAATATTTCTGAAAATAACCATTGCCGAAAGTACTTTAGAAAACACTAAATTACAGGAAACAAAACAAAGAACACAACAATGGAGCATTAAAACAATGTTTTGGAACACGCATGAAAAAAAAGGCATACCTTAAAATGTGTCTTTCAAAATCTCCTTATGTTTTGTTTGTTTTTCTATGATGTATGTTTTCTTAAATATACGCAAATTTTTTTCTTTTTGTTTTGTTTGTTGTTGTTTATGTAATGTATAAGTATTCCGCCTGCGGGCCAAGAATCAGTACATGAACACATCAATGTAAATTATTTAATATTTTCTGCCCTTTATGTTTTCTCATCAATGAAAGTTCCCTTGCGCTCCTGCCCTGACAACTGTGCACATCTGAAAAACGTACATATTTGGTCTAAGTGTGAATTTAATCATCATTATTTAGCATCAATGACAGTTATTTTCAACGTGCAATTTGATATGTCTGTCTTAAGCAAGTTAATTTGTTTCCATCTTTTTGTTCATTGTAATCACCTTCTCTACCAAAGAAATCACATTTTTTAATGTAGATGTAACAACTTTTAGAGGTTTGAAGTTTTGAAAGGGTTATATATTTTGTCTTATCAAGGATCGCACAGACAGGTTTTGCGTGTTTGTGTGTAATTAGTAATCCTCAAGAGGGTAAGTGTTTATTTCTGTCATTCAAGACTTACACTTCCTCCCACTGGAGCCTCTGGCCTCTCCCAGCGTTTAATAAGGGCAGCATGTTCTTGTCTCTGTGTTTTTGAGCGTGTGTGACTCATGTGACTTTACTCATCTGGACGTTTTTTTATTTTTTTATTTATTTTCTGGAAGGTTTCACTAACCTCTTCTCTCCTGGTCATGGGGAGGCAAAAGTGCCAGAAAGTGAAATAGTCTCGAAAGAACAAAGACAAAACCGCCTCAATCATGGAGGCTCTCTGTGTATGTTCTCAGTACAAAGAGAGGCATGGAACAGCACGTTCTGGATGAACAAATAGCAGCACTTCAGTAGGGTAAATATGGCACATTGGTGATGAACAAGCCCTGACTTGTTTATAAACTGCTGCACACATGTACAATAATGCATGAGAGCACGCTCCACATGCACAGCATGATCCGGGTTATTAGAGTTTGTTAATTAGAAGTGTGTTTGTTGGGTTGTGTTGTACCTGCTCAGCACTTTGCTAATGAGCTAACTCAATCAGCCACCTGCTGGGACTAAGCTTTTAATGGGCTAGACTAGATGGGAGATATAAAATAGACAAGCACTGATGAAAGAAAAGCATGACTATAGCCGCCACCACCATTAAATAATCACGCCTACTGTGGAGTATCACTTCTCCATCAATCACAGACTCAATATGTAGGACATGGCACCATTGTGACACAATGACATGGCAGTGCTAATAGAAAAATATATATAAGCCCATAAAGAATGATTGTCACTCAGAACAGCATACTTTAGATGGCCCTGCAAGGACTATTGCTGGTATTTTTTTCTGACCTTCTTTTGTGTTCCCTCCCAATACGTGCATTCAATGGGGGACGTTTATTGAATTGCCCCATTCATAAAACTAGCAAAGAGAGGGTTGATGTGACACTTTACATAATGCATTTATTCCTCTTTATTCCTTTTAAAAGGCTAAGTTATGACAGTGTGTAGCTGCTGGCTGAGTCTTGCTGCTCTGTGTGTCTGAGCAGGTTGAGAATGTGGCTCTTTAAATGGATCCTGAGTGGACCTCAGGTACATTTCTATCTCAATCTCTAGATTTGTGCCTGGCAGTTCCACTGTTTGCACAATTTACTGCTCTTGTTAATAATAGTCGTAACAGCATCATTAAGTAGCAAAATTATAATCTGCTCTGTCAGGTGTCACACACCCCACTAAGCCACAGAAACCATAGCAAGTGACTGCACACCGAACACCTGCACAATGTTGGTATTATGGGCAAATGATTTAGATTTACATATATATTAAATTTCTAATTTCAGGAATACGTCTATCAGTGTATCTCAGTCTTACGGTTCTCTTCAAAAGTGTTGTTCCCCCTTGGATCGCAATTGCTTCCAATGACCCTTGCTTTTTATATTTAAAACGGTATTACAAAATTGTTCAGCAGAATATTTGAAGGTCTTCCCAAGTCTTTTTTTCTCCACTTTTGTTTTTTATAAAGCTAAGTGACATTGAGCTATGGCTAATTTCAAAATAACAAAAAAATCTAACTCGGGAGATAAACCATTGATCATCATACCATTTGCATGTCACAGTAAACCCATGCAGTTGGTTTTCATTTGAACATTAACATGCTTAAAGAATTAAGATAGATGCACACTGCCTTAATTTAAGGCGTGGACACCTTCCTAAAAGACTGAGGTGTTACATGCTGCTCTATAGACGACTAAGTAAAGTTATTATTTGACCAGCTTGACACATGGTCCAGTCCCAGCACGGAAACTTAACAGTTGCTCAGCTTTAATTATTATCTGCTAGCATTACCAGAATGTGCTGTGTAAAAAACAATAGTTGCATCAAATGGCATCAACAGCAGCACGTTTCACACAAAAGAAAGAGTCCATGTCTATGTTCTTTCTCCTCCATAAATGTTGACACCATTTTCCATGTTAGTGTTTTGTTAGTAGGCAGTATTGTGACTTGAATCAATTGAATTGAATGAGCAGCAGGTTATGTTTGCATTGTGAGTTCATGTCGAGTGTCATGGAGACAGGGAGAGCCCAGATGGTTTTTGTGTCCCATGCTCCATCTTTTTCGCAGCGGCCCTGATTACATCAGGTCAGAATTGCCCTCCCACCAGGGGGAAAAAGTTTTCTCCTTTTGTCTGGATGCCTTCTATCCAGGAAATGGCCCCGTTAACAGCTGAATTCACATCTGGTGCATGTACACGATGGGTCTGTTTATTCATGCTCCACTGCTTTTTTTTTTTACATTGGTGCTACGTCAAGTAGCGTTTGAGACTGTTTTGTGCGTTTGTTTGCTCTTAAAACATTCAGAAGCGTGTCTCTGACGAACTGCGCAATGTTTGCTGTGGTGTGTATTCACTGGGTGGTGTGTGTGCTGCGTGTGTTCCAGCTGTGCGTGAACATGAGCAACGAGCGTCTGAGGCAGTACGTGTCCGAGGTGCTATTCCAGCAAGAGCAGGCGGAGAGTCTGCAGGAGGGCATCACCATGGAGATTCGCCGCTCCCCCAGCAACCAACCTGCCGTTCTGGACTTCTTTTTTCAGGTAGTATGTTTCTGGTTTTGACCAGAGTTGTTCAGTTTGAATTACACTCTTGATGTGGTTTCTTTGACTTAAGTTTAAAGCCACATGGTCAAATTCATTTTACAGCAATACTTTTAATTTAAGGAAAAAAAAGCATAAAAAAATATGAGGAATTTGAAAGTTGATTCAGACAAGGCCAGATCTGAAAGCTGCACAGTGCGGAAAAAATGGGAACCTTCTAGCATGTTGGTTCGGTGAAGCAAGGGACCCCTCCCCACCCAGCATCTAAACCATTCTTCTGTTTGTGTTATCTCTATCCATATCGACCCCAAAAGCACTGAAACAGATAAATATGACTGAATCTACTTTATATCAGAGAGAGAGCCCAACCCTGTGGGATCAATACAAGTGTCACAAGGAATAATGTATTGCTAGGATCAAATGTACTTTGTAAATATGACCAACATAAATAACACGTGAACATCTGTTTGTCCCTGCACCAGAAGCCTCAGGGACTCCTGTGTGTGTTAGATGAGGAGAGTCAGAGCTTGAGGCCCGTGGAGCAGACCCTGTACAAGAGACTGTCAACCCAGCTGGACTCCAGTCCAATTCATGGGCTTTCCTTCACTACCAAGGACGGCAACGGCAACCCCCCACCCAAAGACCAAGGCCCAGCATTTATTGTTAGCCACTATGCAGGACAGGTTTGTCTCAAAGAAAGCAAAAAATATTGATTTTCATTTCGTCAGAGGGATGGAACGATAGAACGCATATTCTTCAACATAATTACTTCATATTTCATTTGACCCTTTGTACTTCCTCCTGACCTTTAAACAGAATCCAAACATCTTTGGTTTCAACCATAAATCACATCCGTGTTACAAATTTCCCCCTTTAGTGTTGGTTGCCTAAACTAGGAAGTCATTCTGTAGTTATGTTTTTATTACTTTTTGAAGCATATCTTAAAGTTACACTTTGGAAAAGGATGATAGAAACCGCAAAATGTGGTGTAGTAAATCTATCCTACAATGTTTTAAAAAATATTTTAATGGGCATTAAGCCAAATGGAAATCCGTTCATGTTACACTAATAGCTCACTGCAACCAATTACTCAAGAATGAACATCATGACTAACAGAAGAATCTTTGTTTTCAGATCTTTCAGGTCTTTTTATGACCAAGGTAACTAGTTTAGTCCGTGCCTTCCCCCTTATAGTTTTGTCTACAAAACTGTTTATAGCCATGTGAAACATTAGTTGCTGCACATACAATCAACACAACAAGGGGCAACATTTCAAAATTTTACTTCAACATTTACTTTATATCAGAAATAAAGTTTTGGGGGCCATGTTTATGCTTTTGTGTTAATTGTCATTAGTATTCGTGACATCTGACCACATGGTGTTTCCATAGTGTGTTTTTTTTATATATTAAAAGTCATCTTCGAAAATAATGCTGGGATTTACGGACTGCTGTATGTAATAAAACTACTATTATGTTCATTATATGCATTTTTATTTTGACAATGCAGGTTTTTAATGTACTGAAGGTCTTTGTGTGATTGTTTTTTTCTGGCAGATTTCATATGACCTCACAGGATCGCTAACAAAAAACAAGGACTCCCTTCCTCAAAATCTTCTGTTTACAATGAAGTGTAAGTATTTAATGAGTTACACGCATATGACGGCATTGTTGCGTCACAGCCCACTTAAACACAAAGATGCACTCTTGTCTCAAACAAGCAGCACACAGAAACACCCCTTGTCCTGGTATGTTTGGGTTCGTATGTGTGTGTTTCATGCCATATGCAGACGACACCGTCTGTGTATATTGTCTATAGAAGCTGCCAGATGTGGGGGTGCTTTGGCTAGCAGTACACAAGCAGTCGTTGTGTGACTGCCAGCCTAGTCTTGCGTCCAGCAGCCTAATTGCTATAATTTCCATGATGAGGCTAATCTTCTAAAGGCTAGCCTTTCACTCATGCTTGGCTGTTATCCCTCTGTCTGACAAGTCGATGCATCGATGCCTTTCATCCACACGCAGACGTATACAATGATTGTTTGTTTGTTGTCTTTTTTTTTCATGTGTACCACCCCTTGTTTTAGACCTAAGGCTAAAATGAGTGACTGTGGGATGACATCCGTAGCACCATAATGCAGATTTGCTGAGCTAGTTTTATTCAAAATTAATTGTAAATTAATTGTTACATCAAGCACCAAATGATGCACAAGGGAGTAAATAACAACTAGTAAGAAAAAATGTGAAAATCGGTAATATAGCTTTCTAGTAGTTTTTCAGATGACCTCTCATTAGATGTCAAGTTATTTGTAGATACAAAATAAATTGAAAACCATCACTTCATGTAGTTATTTAGATTAGGGTTAGTTAGTTAGCTAGTTAGGTTGTTGGTTCCCTATAACAGTGTATCAAATTATAAACAAACTACTACACCATATGCTTTCTGTAAGAGAATATTTGAAATAACAATTTTATACATGTTGTAGTAGTTGTCCTGAAAGATAATGATGCTGAACATCAAACAACAAAGCCGTTTTAATTTTTAAACTGCTCTTTACACCTCCTAGTATTTAAGAGATTTGCTTGAGTGAGGAAGCAACACGTTGAGAGACAACTTTAACAAGATGAAAAGCAGCTCATGAGATCATAAAAGGTCAATCCTGGATCTAGAGGGCAAGCTCCCAACAAAATCGTATAAGTATTGGAAACATGTCGGCCAGAAGGAGCACATAGGATCTGTACATCAGCTCATTTGGAAGCGCTTACAGCAGCTCACAGTCTGTCCTTATTGCCTCCAAAATATTCCACATAGCTCAGGATTATGAACACATGATAAAAGTTAATACTGGAATTAGCTATAGTTAGCAACACACAAGAGTTCTACTGTTTTTGTTGAGTTATTTGTACCACAAAGTAATAAAGTACATACGTTTTTAGTTCCAACCCTTAGCTGGGTTTAATCAGTGTTATTTATACTCATGCTCACAGTTAAAAAAAACAGGTTTAACTTTCTTTACTAATAACTGAGTTAGACTTTCTGGAGCGGCCCTTAATTGGTTCAGGTCCTACTAAGAACGCCAGAGTTATTTTTTCATGATTGGCAGCTATGAATCTGAGCGAGTTGCCATTACTCATGGAGTACCCCTGGGGTCAGTTCTTGGACCCCTTCTGTTCAGTATGTATATGTTCCCTTTTGGTTAAATATTACATAACTTTAACATAAATTATCATGCTTATGCAGACGATACACAACTTTTTGTGTCTGCAGTAAACAAACAACAAACAAATGAATTATGGATTGTGGTAAAATGCATAAATGTCCATTCATACGTTATAAAGCTTCCTGTCAGTCCCATCACCATCAGCCTTTATTGGTGTTTGTCTCTTCCTTGCCTCCGTTGCCATTTTTGTTTTTCGTTTTTTATTTACCAATTTGCAATGACAATTGTGGCTTATAGCAACTGTTAAGACGCTTTCTAAATTATATTTCGGCTGTGTCAGATTAAAATTTCAGGACTCAAATTGTCAGTTTGCAGACACTCTGTTTGATGTTTGAGGTTTCGACACATCTTCTAAAACACTTTACATCTTTGCCCAATGTTGTCATCAAGTGGGTCCAGTTTAAAAACGATGGCATATGTCAAAATTAGTGACTAAACTTTTAAGTTGAATGTGTAGATTTTTCTTTGTGCAATGTATGTTGTCATGTGGATCCCATCAGACACCTCCATGTATTTTCTTTGGGTACATAAAACAGTAGTTTTTCTTGTGTTACTCTGCCTACCTTCCAACATCCTTTGCACTGTTTCCTCCTTTGCTTTTTTCTCTGGCAGCCTTTTAAATGAGAATCAGTCACCCACTTTCACACACATGTTGTTTGACTCTGAATGAGCTCATTGTTGTTGTGGACTGCTCCACGTGTTGAAGAGTGACATGGTCCATCCACTCGTGTTGCCTTGCTGATTGTTTACAAGCAGCCTGACTCTGTGCTTACGCCCTACTCTCACTCCTCCTCATCCCTCTTTCACTGCTTGGTTACATCCTCTCAAATAGGCCTTGTTTTCTTTTTCTTTTCTTTCCCTTTTTTTATCCTCTCTCTTCAAATGACCCTCCTCCCTCTTTCTCCACCAATGACATTGGTTCTTATAACCTTATTTTATTTCTCTGCATGTGTGTGCTTTGTGCCCAGCAGCCAGTGAAAGCGTGTTACTACAGCAGCTTTTCCAGTCTAAGCTGACTCAGACCGGTTCTCTGGTGTCAGCTGCCCAGGGCCGAATGGGGTTGAAAGGGCCCAAAGCAGCCTTTTTGCTCCACAGAATGGCACCTGCCTCCCTTGTCAATGCCACTTCTATCCCCCAACAGCCCCGGAGGTACCATGACCTTACTAAGGTAAAATATCTTGTTCACAGTTGCTGCAGCCTGCTGTTGAACTGTGCAAGTAATACTTTCGACCAACTTGAGAGCCTCAGTAGTTACAATTTCTGTCCAATTAAAGTATTTTCACCTCAATGTTAGTTGAAACATTTGCTGATAGGTTCATTGATCAAACTGTTGCCCACGAGACACACTGGGCCTTTTTTTTATCTAACTGGCAACTGCCTGCTGTGACCATCAGTGTAAAAACCAGGATGGTATTTTTTTTAGAAAGAGCAAGTCCCATTTAAGGTACTTTCCACTATACATCTATACAAACTGCTATCAGTTGCATTTGCTGGTGAAAACATAATAGATTAAAAACCTCCTAAACATGTAAACATTTTCTGTAATCTTTAAAACGAATATCCCCTTTTTTTGTCTTATCTTGTTTAGAGTTTTGGAAAATACTATATTTGAGCATATGTGACTAAGAGGCCTTACTGGTTGTGTAACCTCGAGGAGGTCCTTTCTGTCTGTGTGGCTCATTGGCCATCTAGAGCAAAAGCTTACATAAGCCCCTTTTAACCTCCCCGATCTACCCAACCAGCTTTTTACAGCAACCTTAGGTAATATTTCTTCACTGTTGTGTAAGACTGTACCATTACAACCTAACAAATCCCATGGGTCTGATTGTTTTTAAACATAGAAAAACTTAACCAATACCAAACTTCTCCAATAGGACTTTTCTTTTATTGCAACAGAAAAAGAACTGCACATAATGCAGGACAGCTCCTTATACCGCAGTCAAATTTGATGCACACTGATTCGTCTCAGTTTTTCTTTTCATTTCCAGATCATGAAAAAGAAAGGCTCAAGTTCTTTCCTCCAGCGACTGGAGCGCTGCGGCCCCATCACAGTTGCCGTCCAGCTAAGGGTATGAAGCATTTTCAATTATGTTTCCATAGAGTGTGTCTTCAGACAAATTTATTTTCATTTAATTCTATTTTACAGCAATCATTGCAGTTATTCTATTACTCAGAGTAGGCCTTACAACCCTTGCAACAGTGGAACCCTAAGTTCTACTCTGTGTGGTGCTGTGATTTCCCAACTATATAAAGTAACAATAGTAGTCACTTAGCACGGAGTAGTTTGGCGTCTGCCTCTGACGCAAGAAGGCTAAAATTTTGTTTTAACAAGCAGTACCTTTCGTCTCAATGAAACCAGTGTGTTGCACAATCAGTTGTGAATTTTTTTGGTCAACGAGCCCCTCGGGGAATGGCAGCAAAAAGAGAAAGTGGGCTGAAGAATGATGCTGTACCAAGCCAAACGCGGATGAATGAATGAACAATAAACAACAGCCACTGTGTTCTGTGTGCATGCGTTTGCGCGTGCATTTGTGTGCCCATGTGAGTGAATGCGCACGTGCGAAAAGAGGATGGCTGCGGTTTTCAAAGATGAGGAGTCCGATACGGACTATTGTGAGAAAGGCTGCGCAGATCAAACTGTGTGCTGATGTCACTTTGAAGACAGGCAAAAACGCAGATGTAGGTGTTTACGCACGTCGGCATGACCTTGGATGCAGTACCTTTCAGGGTTTGAAGAAAAGCTCTTTTGCACACCCTCAGATAAAGAAAAAAGCTCTTTGTGTTATGCTGCCTCCAGAGGAAAGACGCACACTCAAAAGTCACAGCACTAATATAGATAAAACATTGGCCTTTCTTGTCCTTTTATATAGTTTTCTATATGTTAAAATGTGTTCACTCTATTTCTTACATTGTTGTAGAATTAGCAATTAGTGCCACTGAATGTACTTCCTTTCTTTGCTGCCTCTTTTAGAACACACTGTCAGAGTTGATGAGTAAACTGCAGACTTGTACTCCGCACTTTGTGGAGTGCGTGTGCCCCAACTCCAACGGTCAGCCTGACAGCTTTGACAGCTTCCATGTGTCTGCCCAGCTGCAGTACATCGGGGTTCTTGAGATGGTGCGTGTGATCCGTTATGGATACCCTGTCCGCCTGTCTTTCTCAGACTTCCTCAGCAGGTAAGTCTTCAAGCCTGTTGTGTAATAAAGAGTGCAGCAAATGTCACAAATTGTCCTCTTAAGGAGCAATTCTGTCTGTGCGTGATTCATCACTTCTTCTCTCCCGACATATACTTTAAAGCAGCGGTCTTAAAGATGATTGATCGCTCCACCTCTTCGTCATTCAGATGCATTACACTCCCAGCAGGTCACTGTGGTCTCAGTCACGTTAGGTATGGCAGGTCGAGCGGGTCAAAGCGAGCTGAATGTTTGACAGTATGAGCTGTCTCTACATCTGCCTTCCAATATGAGGGTATATTAGACAGGACCAAACACTCAGCCAGAAAAACACCTAGAAAAGTCACTGTAACCTTTTTTTGTTCAGGGTGCACTTAGAATGTCTTTTTTAACATTTATGGGGGACCATTGCTGCTAACAAATGTTAGTATTGCATTTCTTAAGTCAGCGTGATACATGAGCATGCACCATCCAGTTGTGTGTAAGGTCACTATGATCTAGCCTTGAGATTTTAAAACTGTTACTCACCATCAGCTTTTGGAAAAAAAATGGGCCAAGCACATTTGGTTTGTCTGGTTGTCCTTTATTCTTTTCAAAATCACTCTCAATTTTTCCATTTCACCTACAGCAGCTTAAAAGCTACTTTCCCCCAAATTAATACCACAGTAGCTTCTCATAAAAGCGCATCTTAGTGGAGCTTTCTGCTGGAAATGCATTATATTCTTTGGAATTGAGAAGGATTGAGTTGGCTCTCCATAACAAGCAAAATGATGTACACGATGCAAAATTAGCCAAACTCTCAAAAAAGCAGATATCAAGAAACAAATTACATCACAATATTTCTTAACGTGATCACTCGTTGCCTCACTCACAGATATTTAAGCTTTGAACAGGGCGAACATTTTGGATCATATGTTGTTGACTTCCTCACATATTATTGTGCTAGTTTAGCCCCTATACAATATTTCAAGACTTTTCTAAGTGAGAAAATGGCTTAATTTCTTTTTTTATTTCTTTTTTTGCTTTGATTCTCTTTTATGTCTCTCATTTTCAGTCTCTCCCTTTTCGAGGATAAAGGGATTAACACGAACATTCCTACAAGATAATAAGGGATGACAAAGCTGGTCAAGTGACCCCCTCAATCCCCCCAAAACTTTCCACTACCCTGCTGTAAATATTATCCCATAACCACACACACACACACTCCCTAACTAGCATCTAGAATGCCTGTCCTTTTTCTCAGAACCCAAAAAGAAGATAGTGTTTCTGTATCTTTCTTTGTACGCAGGATTAAACATGGATAAAAGTCTTTGTGAAAAAGTGTCAAATCGAGTCATTTTACTTTTTAAAGCCTTTTTTTTTAGGCAGCCCAATAAAATTCCGGAACTGGTGTTCCAATCCAGAAGGAACAAATACATGCGGAAGCGTTTCTGCACACCCCTGAATTGCAATGTTATGAGAATGAAAGAAGGTAGTCCTGGAAATTGTTTTATGCAAGATCTTGGTCAAGTGGACCTTTAAGAATCCTGCAAGTGATTCCTGCAAGCCAAGGAAGTAATATGATTTATTATTATATATTATATTGTTATTATATTGCCAGTCAGTTTCTCCCTAAACAACTCAGGTCCAGGGACAACTATTTTAGTTTTGTCAGGATTTATTGTGAGTAATCCAGCTCTTGTCTTTCAGACAATCTGGCTTCATAGATAAAAATAGTTTAATTTCATCACACTGTCAAAGCAAATGTATGCTATGCTTTCTACTGTTGAATAATAGATATGATATAATACCACATAAAGGTGCTTATAAACTGAAGAGAATCAATCGAAGCTCATAGCTCTTAAAAACGTAATGACTTTGGTGTGTAAGGAATATTCTTTGTTTACACTAACAAACTGGAAAGGGTCAGATAAATTACTTCAATCAGGCTCATGCAGTTCATGTATTAAAAGAATAATAGAATATCATGATTAATGGTATCAAATGCAGAACTGAGATCCAAAAGTAGGAGCACAGATACAAGTCTACTATCAGAGTCAATAGAAAATCATTGATGATTTGATTTATACATAAAAGGACATTAAGTGTAATTGGTCCTAGATTGAGACTGCTAAATATTTGGAAATACCTTTCCTGATCATTCCTGATGTTTATCAATGGCTAGAAAGTGCTGTTCCTATGAAACCTCAGTGACTGAACCAGAAAATGATGAAAAGCTGTAAGTTAGAAGAAAAAAATAGTTAAATGCATTGGATTTCTACTGACTTATTTGAAAAAGCATATATGTATTGCTTATAGGATACATAGATTACATGAAAAAGGTCAAAGGAACCACTAGAACATTGATCTTGAATGTAAAACAGAGACACAAACGGAAGAAAGGTTTGAAGGGATCAGATAGCAGCTGACACTATTATTATATAAACAAGGAAAGTGAGTAATTGTGAAATTGTCAAGCAGGACAGCTGATGAACGTAAACATCACATGATCCCGTGTGTGTGTCTGCTGTAAGAGCTCTTGTGGTGTCATTTTTTCCGCTATGATCAAAAGGTTATTCAGGGCCCTGTCCCTTAAAGACCAGGATTGGGATACACTGGTTTAAGTGATACATAAAATAAACCTTTCTAAACCTTAAACATGCATTATCTATTAGGAAACTGAAAAAAGCTAAAAGCTATAGATTCATATAAATATGTAATATCAATAAATCTTGTAATACATTAATATGTAAACATATATTAAGTCCCTATTTAAGTGCCATACTGTTCTCTGTACTCTTCATAGGGCCAACAAACAAAGCTTTAACCAGTTTCTCTGCTGTCTTTAGAGCTCTTTCGCACTTGAGTTTGGATCCTTCAAACCATCATTTCTAAACTCTGTATCTTTTCTTCTTCCTTGCTTTACTTTTTTTGGATAGTGCCTGTAATTCTTCTTTTATTTATTTATTTTCATTTCAGTTTTTCACCCATTTTTTTCTCAAAAATTCTTTTGTTTTTTTCCCCTATTTTTTGCTCCCTCTCTCTTTCCACTTGCCACTCATTCAAAACAGGTCCTGGCCCTTGACTAATCGAAATGACAGGCCAATATATCAACCATTAATCTTGATGTTGCTATATGCTCTTGAACATAAACGAATCCCTGTGTGTACACAAATACATTTGCACCCGAAAGCCACACAGGCCTCTTCAGTAAGTCATAGTGGCTGCCTGAAGTGAATTACATTAGTGTCCTGGTAACCAGAGTGATTTATGTGGAAGTCCGTTTCACTGTTGCTTTTATTTGTCTTTTATGATACTCTATGTGTTTTGTGACCGGGTTTATTTTCAGCCAGTGTGGAAGGTCAAATGCAGCCACTTGAACTTTGTTTCTTCAAATTCAAGCCTTCCGGTGTGTTTGTCTTCCTTCTCTTTATAAAACTTTTGTGAAATATTCTTTTCAACCGCATGTTACAGTTGTACACATACACATGTAATGTCTCTATGTGAACCCCCCCTTCCCCAACCAGGTTCTTATCATTTTCATTTGATCAATTTGATTTGACTTTTCAGAGTAATTTAAAATAACCAGTCTAACCATCCAAAATCTAGTCTAACCATCTATCTGAAAATGCATAACAAAAGAATGCTAACTGTTTCTAAGGAAGCAGCACATGAAAATGTGTGTTAGAGAAGGAAGTAAGGGTTTGAACTGCAGTTGTGTTGCTGTTACTGCATTTGGTCAGTTATAATGGTCAATGATGATCCTTTGGTCACACTCAACGATGCTCGTGCTGCGGAGCCGTCCATTTAAACTGGTATCATAGGGGTTATTGTACTTCTTAAACTCCACAAAGCCCCTTGGGTCTTGTACAATGAGGGACCATCGATAGTTTTCATATCCTCATAGGAGAGGTCATGGGTTTACAGAGTTCCTCTGCATTTATGGGTCCAAGGGGACATTGTGAGTTGTCTGGTGGGCTGGTATTGCCATAAAGAGAGAAGGTTAGGGAGAGTTCAGACAGACCCCCGTTCTTGCAAATCAAACACATCCAGCATTCACGTGAACTCACTTACTCACTATTGACAACTCAAGTGGTTTATGTTTCCAGCCACCTGGCTGTTATGTTTGCCTCATCCCATGTGTGACATCATCAGCTGGCTCTTCCTCATGGACGACAGAGCAAATGGAGCTCACGCTGACCAAATGTGATTTGTAAGCGGTGTTTTGTTTTTGTCCGTGTTTTTCCATCTGATTTAGAATACCTCATTTTCACTGGTGATCTTACAGAATAAAATTGTCAATTTTCCACAGTTTTACTGTGGTGTAGCAAAGAATTAAGGCAGGTGTAATGAGAACTGAATGCGTTTAACAGCTGCATTTGAAATTTTTGCCTCAATGATATTTTTGCAGATTTGAAATTTATAATATTACTGAATAAGTTTTCAAACTTACCAACAGAAATACAAACATGGATGCAGCAAAGCTTATGAATTGATATGCTAATAGTTTATGTTGAATGCATCTTCTGTTTAATGACGAGACGCATCAAAATGGAGAACATTGGTGGGGAGAATTAGCAGTCAGCAATGATATCAGCAATTTAGCACTACAATTGCAGGTTTAACAAAGGCTAAATAAAAGCTGATTTAATTTTCTTAGTCAGTGATAGTTTCCACATCAGATCCACATCAAGCGTTTACTCAGCCAGCTGCTGTCACCTTATCATTTAAATTGTCATAAGAAATAACATTTAAGAAAAAAAACTAAACAAACAAAACCCAAACATCTACAGGTAAGTATATAAAGAGCTATTCAGCTGACCGTCTGTTTCTCCTCCGACATCCCGTCATGAACAAATGTCTGACTCAATCCAGCTGACTATTCATGGCGTTGCCCAGAACAACACCAATAGGAGCAGATGCTGTTTGGCTGTATAACCCAGATGACCTCTGAACCCATTGTTTCCAAAAGAGGCAGTCGCCACGTCTCATCTAAATTTCTCAACTCAGCAGGTTTCTTTGCAGTTATTCACGTCTGTGTTTTTTTTCTATGTGGCCCCCTCAGATATAAAGACCTCGTGGTCCCCACTTTGGGAGACAAGAAGAAATTGTCCGCGTCTGAGAGATGCCGCTCAGTTCTCCAGCAGTCAAAACTCCAAGGATGGCAGGTGTGTTTGTTTCCTCCCCCTGTAACAAAAGATTTGCCAAATGAAATAATCCCTGACCTTCTGTTTGAAGGGATCCCATGAAATCTTGACAGCTCGTTCCAGCTGTCCTGGTTCATCATAATTCTGCTCACACACACACACACACACACACACGCAGAGCGTGGCTCCCTCCACCCCCGTCTTTCCTGTCTGAGCGACTGCTGTTGTGTCTGAATGCGTGACCCTGCAGGTCACACACGCATACGCCCCCTCTACACAATGCCCGGCAGACTGTTTTACACACACAGACACGCACCCTGCCTCCACATGTAGCTTCTGTCGCTGTGAATAGCCCAATCAGTAGAGGTATGTCACCTTCACAGGCCCGTGCACCTTGTATAGAGAGACCTCTTTAGCCCGCCCAAGTGACCTTCAAGCCCACCGAATGAATGGATTGCAAACATGCAAATCCACACTCTGTTCAAACCACACACACCCCCCAATTATCATAAATTATTGCTGCATCATTAGTCTCCCACGTCCTCATCACACACTTCTGAAATGTCCAACCGAAAGCATGTTCACCGGATCTCCTGATGATGTTACTTGTTGCTGATGATATTGTAGATGTAATGAGCAAACATGCTGACCGTTTAACTTTTGTGTGCGTATAGATGGGCAGCAGTAAAGTCTTTCTGAGATACTGGCAGTCAGACCAACTCAACGACCGCAGCTACCAGCTCCACAAAAAGATCATCACCTGTCAGAAAGGTAATATTCAAAGAAACAACAGTGTGTGCTTTTGTAATTTGCCTTTGTTTCTGACACCGGGTCTGATTTTTTTCCTCATCCACCTCTGACCACTCAGTGGTTCGCGGCTGGCTGGCCAGACGCCGGGTCCATCGCAGGCTGTCGTTACAACACAAAGAGGAGTGGGGCGTGCAGCGTTTCCTGCAGGGAGCGGAAGACATGGGGCTGCGAACCTACGACCAGCTGGTCATCCAAAATGCATCTGACATCGCACGAGAGAGTGACCGTCTGCGCTGCCATGGCAACAGTCTGCTCAACACCCTTGGCAACAGTCCACCACTTGGGGAGAGGCCTGAACCAGTGGGCAAGGAGGAGGATCAGCCGGTTAGGAGGTAAATTAGCAATTACCCCCACAACTGCATACTTCTAAAATGATCTAAAGGCAACTACTCATGAATGTATTTTGTTTCTTGTTCTTCTTTATGGATTGTTGATACATCTCCATCTAGTCAATAATCACAGAAACAAAAAGTCAGCCAACATAAGATTGATAAGGGTAAACTTTGCTAACGTGGACGCTAAGTCGATTCCAAGAGAAAAACAACAGAGATTTTGCTTTCTGCCTGATAACAAACTAAACATCAACAAAATTGTCATAAGGTGAAAAATCTGATTATTCAGGCAAATTAATATTTAAGCTGTTATAAAATAATATAAATAATATGTAAAGTGACAAAGGGATACTCCTCTTACAATGGCGCTTTGAAAACTGAGTAAGACCGGGGAATAATTCTAAATGTGATGACCTAATGATGTTACTTAGACTTGGAGAGTAACAAGCAATGGGTCATTTTTGTCATTCATAAGATTTATGAAAGAATCATTTGCCTTTCTAAACGTTTATGTGTATAATCATTTGTGCATACGTTTTTTCTTGAATGTGCCAATGTCTGCCCAGCATGTGCTTTGTGATTAATGATGTCATTCTATACCTGTGTGCTGGGGACTTTTAATTGTAAGCTTCATGATGGATAGTCAGATAATGAGCTGCGTTATCAGATTGTATAGTGTTGCACCTATGGAATACGGTTTCAGTCCCCACCTCATTCTAATATAACATATTACCCTTTGAGGAAATGGAATAGGCCCAAGGGGCGAGGATTGAAAAAAAATGTAAAAAGGGGTAATAGAAAGCTCTTTCAGAGATTCTGTGATATGAATGACCTTAATTTTGAAAGGTAAACCTCTACTTCAGTAAATTTCAGAAATAAAAAATGTTTCCATATTCTGCAAATATTCTAATGTTCACGTTAAGGGATTTATTGCCTGCCTTCCTTTGCAGATTAAGAATTGCCATGTGAATTCTGTTGATTAACGCTTTGTCAGTGCCATTGATGATAGCCCCTCTTTTCAGTTTGATAGGGAACTAATGCGCAAACATCACTAAAATATTACTGTTGTTCAGACTAATACAGCTAAAGAATTGTTCTGTCTAAATTTCTAAGTCATTTTGATGATCATTCCACGCAATTGAAAATAAAAAATGTACCCCACAGCACTGTCTACAATAGCAAGCTGTGATCTATGTAGACAGGTTTGTTCTAACAAAGGAGGTAACAAGGGACGTTTTTTCAAGAAGTAGACTGAACTAGAAGTCAACATTTTAAGTATTTAAGAATTGTAAAGAAGATTAAAAGGCAATTGCATGCCTGCATTCTCCTAACTCTTCCAGTTGGTTTGCTTGTTTCTTAAATGCCTTCCAATATTGCCGCCACACATGCTCAGTTACTCCCTGCATGCTGGCACGGAAGTAACAGATGGGCTAACCCAGATTATCCATATATCAAACTAGATGTTATCCAATTACTGCAAGGAGATTACATTCAAAGCATAATCTCTTCCATTGTTTTCCTCACATTGCTCCCATTGGAGCAAATTCTTTTGACATGATACTTGAAGCAAGCATATGGTTTTCAGTTTACTGATGATATAAACATATCATCAACCCCGTCTGGATCAGACAAATGTTTTGATGAAAAAGTGAATTTATCCTTCTTTGGGAAGAATAACTTTTAAAGCACAAATGACAGAGGTTGTACACATTGTCCAACCAAATAAATCTTTGTTTAAAGTAAAAATGCCTTAGACTAAACCGTTGCTAATAGCCATTTACATCTTCTGTTTGTAGGATGATGGAGAAAAGTGGAAAAGTGCATGATGGCCCTGTCAACAGCGGAGGTCGAGTTATTCGCCACTTTCGGTCCAGTTCAGTTCCCATCCCCCTTGCCATGGAAAACATTGTTAAATTCTCTGCCAGCCCATCCATCAAACCAGCCTTGCAGCAGGTAGCCCAAACCAATGAGGATGGTGCAGGCGGTGGAAATTTGTCCTCTCCTCGGAAACAACCTCCTCCAAAGCCAAAGAGGGACCCGAACACCCGCCTGAGCGCATCTTATGAGGCAGTTAGTGCAGGGCTGGCAATGGCTGTCAAAGAGAGCTCAACTCCAGAGGGGTACGGTTCACCAGCAGGAAGCCCCCCTAAATCCCAGCTGTCCCCCACAGACCCAGCAGGTATCACCTCATCTTATCCTAAGAGACAGTTTTCACTCTTTTAGTTTCTTACTGCTTTTACATGTTATATTGGCTTCCCTTTGTGTTTATGGCTTTTCTTTTCTCCGCGTGAATTCTTTTCAGCGTCATCCAAGCCCCGTCCCCACAGTGACGACTACACAACCATGAGAAAGGTTCCACCCCCCAAACCCAAGCGCAGCCCCAACACCAAGCTGTCAGGCTCATATGAGGAGATTAATGCTGCAGCGCCCCATCTCCACCAGCTGCGCCCTGCTGATGTAAAGCTGGCCTTGCTATCCCGTGGTGGGGTGTTTGGTGGGTTTGGAGGCTTGATGCAGAGAGCAGCCTCTCTCGATGCTCCACAAGGGGTAGCATTAAGCCTGTATAAGGGCCACGATGAAGAGGATGTATACATTGAGATGATGGGCTCCCAGCCACGGGCCCGGAGCCTCCAGGAGCCTCCCGACAGCCCTGATCAGGCAGACTTAGAAGCCGTCTATGAGGAGATGAAGTATCTCCCCAACGAAGATAATGGAACCACTGCAACTGCTATCACCAAGGCAGCCAGGCTGGAGGCTTTAACCTTGGGCCTGGTGGGGTATGAGACATGCCCTCCTCGAAGCGGGGACCCCAAACGACTCGCTGTGGGGTTGACTTCGGCCCTGGATATAGCTCAGTCACAGAGCTTATGTAATAGCGGAGTTCCCAAAGCTCATTCTGGCAAAGATGGAGCCTGTGACATCCCCGCTCCCTTCCCTAACTTGCTACCTCACCGCCCACCTCTCCTTGTGTTTCCCCCCTCCCCCGTCACCTGCTCTCCTGCTTCAGATGAGTCCCCCCTCACCCCTCTGGAGGTAAAGAAGCTGCCAGTGTTTGAGACGAACCTGAACTATGCCGCTGGCCCAGACAGCCCCCTGTCTCCACAGTTTGGTCGCCAGAGGGCCGACTCTTCTCCCAGCCTCACTGTCCTCATGCCAGAAAAGAAGTCAACACCTCCACTCACTCCTCCACCTCCTCCCCCGAGTGCTCCACCTCCTCCTTACAGACCCCCGTCACACTTCCCCTTTCCACCTGAGGCCAACTTTCTGGCGCTTACACGAGCAGCATCTGTTAGTGGGAGTTCAGATTCCCCCAAAACATCTTCACAAAGGGCAGGTGGGGAACCACTGGGCAAGCCGCCTCCCTACTCCCCTGTGAGGATGTCCCGTCCTGAACCACGAAGAGCTCATTCATGCTCATCATCTCCCCTGCTATTTAATCCAGCCAATGGGAGACCCCTGACCAGCCCTCTGGATGAACTCAACACTCTCTTCAGCTCTGGTCGCAGCCTGCTGAGGAAGTCTACGTCTGGCCGAAAGATGAGGGATGGAGGTCTGTCAATAATGCTCATACTCACATCCACACAGTCATTCCAAGTTACACCAGTGTAAAACACACACGAGCAGAGAAAGGATCCTTTACAGATAACTGCATTTCTTTGCTTTTTATTCCTATAACATTTATCGGGTTAATCTACATTTGTTACTTTTCTTCTAGACAGACCAAGTCCGACCACCACTTTCTTTGTTTATGAACTATTGTGTATGAATTAATTGAGAGCTTTCATTTTTCAGTTTTGTATACAGTGCAGATGAGGTGTATCTCTGTTAATGCACATTTTTGCAGAGGCGTTAATGCCCATTATGTGCTGTCAGCTGTGAGGGTTAATGATCAGACGCTCTCCCTGCTCTATGCTAGTTGATTAACTGCATTCAGATTGATTGGATATTGTGATGAAGTAATGCAGGGCTGTAGATTTATAATAACCTTGCTTTTAGTGTTGATATGGATCTATTTGATACATGTTGTGCATTTGAATTGGAAGGGAGGAGAGTCACCATATCTACATCCTATTCTATTAATCTATCTGTTGCAACTACAGCCATTGTTGGCCTATTTGCCGCCGCACATTTGTTACAGTCTCCAGCGCAGTGCCCTTTGGCTGCGGCAACTGCGTGCTAGCATGTTGGCTAATGAGCTGGCTAGTGCGGCCCACTTTGCACCTGCACTGAAAATACGCTCTTGCAAGGTTATTAGGTGCTCTAGCTTCATGCGCTCCATTTTGTGCAAAGCACATGTGACACTGATTCAAACAGTGACCTTTGCAAAAGCAGGTCAAACATATTTGTCACACATGGGCAGTGACACACTGGGTCCCTATGTCAAAGTTTTCAAACTCACTACGAGATGACTTTGTAGCGCTCTTATGAGAGTAACTGCTCATCTGAGAGGCAATGTTGGCAAAACACAAACATCTCAGATATTCAGTGTCGGTGCACGTTTTTTTGTGTGTGCTTTTTTTTTTAACTCAGTCTCTGTTTCCTTAAAGTGCATTACTCGTGGCTCGGTTAATAATACATAAGCAGTAGAACGATGAGGATTAGGTATCAAATATTTAACAACTCACTCATGTTCTGCTGAAGGTAATGTGACTGCCGAGCTTCAGTGAACAGCTCAACCAGGACAACTAGTTTGGAGACAAGTTAGAAAATGACGGTCAACGGATTATGATTCTTCAGTTCATTAAATGATTAGTTATCTTAGAACCGTATTAAGGAACTGCTTGATTTGTATGACGGATGATTGTGTCATACCCCTATAATTGTAACAATCATCGAAGTACGACAGGGGCAGGGGACTGAGCTCCTTATATGAGAGGGTATGCAAGCGAGTCTGTATGCTTACGCACTTCCCCATGTGACACTGCACACTTGACTCTTCGTCAGTACCTGGACCTGCGCAGGAAAAGCACTGGCATCATGGAAACGATGTGTGTGATCAGGCACCGGGATATTTTGAGCAGGCAAACTATTGCGGCTCTCTTAGATCTGAGCACAGAGGGATGCCAATGGGCTTAACAGGACAAGCCACTTCCGTTCCCTCTTGATGGCTAAATGACTGAATGTGATACCTGACGCTGAGGGAGTGGCCAGAGGTCCAAGTTTGCTATCCCAGATATCTCTGTGAAGAGCAGCTGACGTCCCCACACCACCCTCCCTCATCGTTAGGGAATGAGAAACCACAGGAATGCCGGGAAAAGGGGCAGGTGGTATTGGAAGGCTTCAGCAAAGCTGTGTCACAAGACATCTCACACTTTATCAGCAACATACAAAATTCTAAAACCATAGTTACAATTTTTTGACTGTTTTGGAGAATTTCTTGTTTTCATATATTTTTTTTCCAGACAGTCTCACTGGGCTCTGCTTCTGTATCCGGTCTCTTGTCCCTCTGCATTCTGATAATATTCCACGGGACATATATTATAGTGGAGTTTGCGACGCTTATATTTAGACATCTTGTGACCATGGGGGGAACCAGAATGAGCACATTCCCGTGTGGGACAGCAGCTGATGAATTCCTGTTCACACTGCCACACACATATCTGAATACAGTGACCAACTCATAGAGTTTGTGATAACATGAGACTGGAGGAGCTACAGAGGCAGAGCTATTCTCTGCAGCAATGGCTCTGTATGAAAGACCAGGATAGACATATCAATAGGGTTGGCACCAACCGGTATAAATATATTGGAAATTTGCATGAGCAGAAAGAAATTATGAACAGGGGAATATATAAGTATCTAATGCATTCTCTACATAACATGTACAGATGAATAATGTGCTTTCCTTCGGTTATTTTCCTCTCAGGATTCAATTCTAATATCAATCTGCCAGGGAGGGAAGAATGTGGATCTGCTCCCACCTCTCCATCTCTACAGCTGCAAGACAAAAACGCCAACAACCACTCACTACACTCCCCAAGCCCCGTCTCTGTAGAGAACGGCAACCAGATCTCCAATGGTAACAACCCATTAATCTACCGTACATTCAACAGTTTAAATCCTACTGGTTTTATTATAGAATGACTTGATATGTTCTTTTGAGACAACAAGACAACTGTTTGCAGACCAAAAATAATCTATTCATACAAAACAGTGAATGCTTTTAAACTTAAACATCAAATTTGGAACAGTGGATATTTAAATGGATAAACATTTGTATGAAAAATAAGTTGAGACTGTGTCAGTTTTTTTGTGTTTTTTTTTTCTTAAAGAAATCTGAAAAATACAAAAAATGAACATGGTTGGGTGCAGTTAAAAACCATCTCTGAAAAATGGGCATGATGTATTTTTAACTGAAAACAGCTGAATGGCTGTGTGATTTAAAAAGAACGTACCCAAATGGCATTTGCATAATGGTTCTGATTGTGTTTGATCAGGGCCACTGGAGGATGAGAGTCACAGCAAGTCAAACTCGAGCACCACCTCTTTGCACAGGCACATGGACAGTCATCACAGCCAGGTAATCTTGCAGACAAACCTTTGGAATAATGGAAATACATTAGTTTTTCTGCAGTGTGTGTAAATATAATGAATTGCCCCCTATATACTCACACTCATGCACATGCACAATTACAGCGTAGCTCCCATATATGAGGACTTCATTGTGTTGGGGTTTGTTGACTAAGTGGAGAAGGAAAGTGGCCCCTTCTAAACAACATGTATCCTTCGTGACATGTGAGCTTTTTCTGGCTCTTCAGGCAGGTGTTCGGTTACAGGATAGAGTTTAACGTTCTGTGAGCTTGTCTGTTTACAGACACACACAGTTTCATGACACGAAATTGATATATTTTCATTGAGTCTTGAAAACTGACACTCACCAATGGCATGTATGTTAGAGAGCCTTAAACATAAAAAGCATAACCATGAATATGCTTACTAAGTGCAGTCACACTCACATGGTGATCAACCCAGCACAGAGCTAGCTTTACTAACAATTATCATGTGCTTGCACCCTCACTTCAAGCAAAAACACCCCGTACCATCTTCCTTTTATCTTTAAAGACCACAGTCAAATTGTCTTTTGATCCGTGCCTTCTTATCTCAATGATAATTCATTCAATGGAAAAAGGGTCCTATGATCAATAGAGATATATTTAACTAGAGATAACTTAAGCGCCTGAGCATTCTGAGAACTCTTCATCCACCCAGAAACTCCTTTGAATTTCCAGTTTAAACAATTTCAAGAAATTTTCACCGAAGGTTTACAGTCATAAAATGATCCCTAGAGATGCAGGCATTGGGATCTGATTATCAATGATAGATATAGGCTTTATTAATTACATTCTGGTATCATTACTTTCAGATCCACGCCGCCTGCTGGAGGCAGTCTGTTTCGAATTTAGCCGTTTAATGTGTCACGCATCAACAGTCCCTGAACCAACATGCAGCCCCTGTTTTCTTCTTCATCTCAGTATGCTAAATGTGTTGTTGCAAAATCAGATTAGGTATCTAAAGAATTAAATTTACTTGTTTTACTGTTCATACTGACTCCTATAAGTTGACTTCTAATGTTGTTTCTGATTTGTTCGGGGCTATTGCATTGTTTTTGAAACAAAACAGAGGAGAAGCAGTATATCATAGATGTTGTGGCCGTCTAGATGCCTGCAGTCATTACTAAGCTGATGAGCTGCAGATGAAAGCATTATTTTCTTATCACAACATTTGTCAGACACTGATATTAGGTAAAGGCAGCAGCTGTGCTGTATGATTGGCTAAATTGACGGTTTAAATGAGCTGCACCTGAAGAAAACCCCCACAAGCCTGTGAGGAACATGCAAACTGCTCTCTTACAGTGACGTGCGAGGCATTGATTTAAAAAAATAAAAGATAGATCTGGTGCCACCGAAGTCCCTGTAGTATTACACGGAAGCCATTTTATTCAGTGAGGTGAAGGTTTTCAAATAAGGCTGTACTCAGTCGCTGTATTTCGAATTTCGGGATGCTCTGACCTGTGCTGAAAGAAAGTTTCATCGCATGAAGACTAATTGAAGTTCTTTTTAGACTGTATTAGTGAGGGATTGCATTGTCGGTGGTACACGAGGGAAAGAAAGAACAAGGGACATGGTGTTCCGGAGGAGCTTGGGACACCTATTAAAAAGATCTGAGGGAATGCTGTGTTCCTTCTTTACTATCTCAGGTTGATAAAATGTTTAGCCCCTACACTTACAGCTTGGTTGGGTTCAGTTTGTGCTCCCTTTTGAGGCTTGATTGTGTGTTTGAGTTGGTATTTCAAGAAGTCCTGCTCACATTCCAGCACCTAATGACATTTTTTCTAACTTCTTGTCCTATTTTCATGAGCTTGCTTTTTACTCTTTCTCCCTTCCTCCCTTATTTTCCAGAGGGGGCATCTCAACTTTTCTCCATTTGGTGCAGGGGCTGCCCTCTAATACAGTGAGGGTGGGCCATGGGGGGGGGCTCACTGGGAGCCCTTTCCATATATAGCGATGTGGTGAGTGTATGTCATACCGTGTCGCTCTCCACCCTCATAGAAATAGCAGTGTTTTTCATAGACGCTGGGTACAGTCATGACTGCAGTGCTACCCAATTTGCAAGATTGTCTTAATTCAAGACTAAATTGAAACAACCCAAAAGTAATCTTTTGGGATTTGGAGAGACTTTCCGATGTTAATGACTTCAAGGAATTTCTCATTAAGGCTTTTGGAGCAATCAAAGTCTGTGTATTTGCGTAAACATGGCAGGAAACTGGCAAATTTGTTTTCATTAAAGACCTTATTACTTTTATCTGAAATATTGGGTCACTGTGGAAATCTTCTGAAAAGCACTGCTTTTGCAGGACATCATCATCAACAAGTGATCCGCTCGCCCTGTTGAGACGAGCAGTTGTTGATGCTTTCAATCATTTTTATCCTTATTTTTGAGAACAAACTGCAGTTCTTGGCTTGGGAGGGACTCTTTCTATCCATGCACCCATTTATTATGTATGGGTTATTATAGCTATTTTTCATTTGATGTCATTGCTTTAGCAGATGCAGTGAAATATGGATAAGTATGGACACTAATATTTAGATATTTTGAGTCACTGCTAAGAATCACAGAAAGTCACGCTGCAGTTTTTATCCATGCTTTTTCATGTGATGTTACTGTACGTTGTTTCTGTGATTGGACGTCATCCGAAACCTTTATTACTCTTTTGTCTGCATCATTTTCACTGCCGTCACATGCAATTAGTGAATAGGCAGTATTCATATTTATGCGTTGTTCAAAGCTTGTGGAGATCATCACTGACTTTTGGAATCTTTAGTTTGATTGATTAGTATCTCCACTGTTGCTTGGAAAACTAAAAGCTTCTGTTGATTTTATTACCGCAAGAATCTTTGTAAAAGTCCCAAAAGATGCACAGTCTGGTTTGGCCATTTGAAGTCTGAGAGGCATTTCAGTCATTCCAGATCCTCGTGCTGCCTGATATCATCACACACGCACACACACAAGTGTCACTACTGGCAAAGATAAAGGACACATTTATCAATGGTCTTTACAACAGCTTCATCCTCATGAGGTTCTTTCATTAGCATGAAATGTGACATGTTTCAATGTGCTACATTCCAGAATGTGTTTTTGTAGGATTCTGAGAAGTAATGGGATGAATAGACAAAAACAAGAAAATGAAGAAACCAAGCGCTTAAAGAATGAATGGCCGGTTTTGTTTTTGTTCCCTGTAAGCAGACAACAGCAGTCTAGACTAATTATATAACAGATTGACAGACAGTTAAATGACTGAATCATATAAAGATTGATAGTTCTGTTTATCCACTCAGACAAGGTCTCAGCAGAGGCAATGACATTTAAAGTTGAAGTTCTCCCATATTTACTTCTCAGTAACACTTTTCATGATTTAAATGTATAAGAAAGACTTTGTATTAAAAAAAGAAGCCACCTACTGAAAAACACATGACGCCTTTTTTTTTTGTTCAGTTCTTGGAAATATTTGAAATGAATGAAAATGAAAAAACCTACATTGGCAATCATTGAGAGGTATCTTGGGGAATGATTATGTTGCTTTGCCAGCTGACAGAGTAAATTCTGTAGTATAAATGATGATACATGCTTGAACACTTTAATTTCTGTGCTAAATGTAAAAAAAAAAGCATTGTGATTATCGAAACACTGACAGTTTTAAGAACAGACCACTAACCATTTGTTACCAACCCAACAAAACGTTAATAAGGTTAAGGATATTTCCCCAGTGTCTTTATGGGGGCATAAGTGGTTGGTTTGTGTTCCAAGCTTGCTGCATATTTACCATCCCAGTATTTTTTAGATTATTGTCTAAAGGCTGTACATTCGAGGGATGACGGCCATAAACTGTGAGCCTCTCAAAATTAAATATATCCAGACTGTAGATGGTACTCATTGTCCTTTATGTATGTCTGTGTGTGTTTGTGCGTGCGTGTGTGTGTGTGTGTGTCCATCAGTCCATGTACAGTCATGCACTGCAGAAGGACATGGCGTTCCCTGTTGTCTTCAGTTCCAGTAGCTGATGTTCCTGGCTGGCGCCAGTGCAGAGAATAGCTTGGCAGGGAGGTGTAAATTATGGATTAGATTCTAGAGTATTGTACTTGAACAGTCTGTGTGTATGCATGTGTGTACGTGCATGTGTGCTGCTGTTTAAAGATATGTGGTTCTTGAGATAAACACATGTACTGCATTTATGATGGAGAAATTCATGGGTACATCATGGGTTTTTTGTGTATGTACTGTATGTGGGGGAACTCAAGAAAAATTATGCTAAGTTGGTTAGGAAGAAAAACCTAGCAGGGATGGAGAGACATGACGTTTTCTGCACCAAATCTTTGTATAAATTTGAAAATCGGACATAGATAGCAAAAAAAAAAACTGGACATAGATAGCAAAAGAAAACTGTTTATATTCCAAACGTTTCACAAAGTTCACCAACAAGCTACTCTGTTGGACTTGATAGAGTGGTCCTTAAAGGTTTATGGGCCCAGTTTGATCAGGATTTGATCAAAAACATTGACCATCCAGCCACATTTGCCCCTATGCTGACCCTACTGGTAATCTGTAAACTGATTCTCCATTACACTGGGCAAATATTTCAGAGCATGTCCACAATACACCACCATTAGACACAGTTTGGAAGTGGCAGCCAGTCCAACCTGACACTTGCCTGTTGCTTGGTTACATGCTACTGTCAATACTGATATTGTTGGATGAGAGCTGGGACTAGTCATTTTATGTTTCGAAATAGCTTAAAATTGTGACAAATATTGTAAAACCCGTTTCCCGTTTGTAAAATCATGCATGTACAAGTAAAGAAAAGCGCCTAAATGCTAGTCCCAACAAATTTGGCCCGTCGGTTTCAGTCTGCATCTGATGTCGACATGCATTTGGTTTCTTGCATCAAGCTGTTGCTCGCTATGGGGCTGTGGCTCAGGAGGAAAGGATCTGCTGATCGGAAGAACAGCGGTTCCCCAGGGCCATATGTCGAAGACTCTTTGGGCAAGGCACTGAAACCCAAGTTGCCCACCGGCGTTTGAGTGTGTGGGAGAATGGATGAATGACATTCAGAGTAAATCACTTTCAGTGGTCAGTTCGACTGGAAAAGCTCTGTATAAATACAAGTCCATTTACCATTTAATGGTAAATGGGAACATTCATCCATGTTTAAACGGCTGTCACTGTTATATGGATCAAAGGAAGAAGAAAAGGAATTTGAAGAGCTGTTTGTTCAAATGAGGCATGAAAAGCACCAAATATGAACTGATGCTGTCCACTTGTAATTAGATCAGCTAAGACATGTGCTCATGTCAGGTGTGAACGGAGAAACACTGAGACAATAACATTCTTTATCATTTTTTTACATGTCGCATACATGTGAAGATCAACTTCCAAGCCAATAGTTTCTAATCTGGTCCGGCTCAGTAAGGCTCTGTCTTCTTGTTGGTTTTACTGTGTGGGTGAGATTGGAAATCCTGTCTGATTGATTTACTTGGTTATTGACTTGCAGATGACTGATGCTCTCTATACAGACTGTGGTGTATTTATGGGAGATGCTCTGTGGCTTTAAACTGTGTGTCTGAGGAAAGAAGAAAAGCTTCCCTAAGGTGTTTGCTGCATACAGGATCTTAGTGGAGTTGATGATGCTTGATGATACTTTTCTTTTTTTTTTAATTTCCTTTGCATTTTCTTCTCAAAAGGGAACATATTTAGAATTGTTCCTTCCCATTTTTATGCTCTTTACTCATAACAAGCTTAAGATAAACTTGGTTTAATTTATAAAACCACCATGATTCATCCCTTCATTTCATGAGTCATAGCTTAATCTGTCTACTGTCACTGAAGGAAAGGGATTATTCCACGCATGTTTCTTCACTTCTTTTCCTAAATTGAGCCCCTCCTCTCTTTCTCCCGTCACTGACTCAGGTCTTCCAGCGACTACGTCTGTCCAACGGGGACGAGAGCACTGCCTTGGGAGAGCTTCTGCGCTGGCGGCGAACGCAGTGTGAGGGGAGGGGTGGCTGGAAGCACCGCCCACCTCAGTCCCCACCCCTGCCCCCCACACTCCTCTGGACCAACAGGAAGGCTTCTCCATGACAGCGCTTCTGTCACTCTCAAACCGAGGGGCAATCAGGCCCCCTCCCCCGTCATCAGCCGTACTCATATTTGCTCTTGATGCATTTGTTTTGTTTTTTGTTTTTTTATTTTGAATGTGGGCCAATGATCTCATCACCCATGGGTTATGCTGTCCTCCGGGCCCTAAGACGAGCCTAGTCCCTGGGCTGAGGATCCCGCCTCTCCTCTTTGCACTTGACTGTGAAAGATGCCCCAACCTACATGATCGAATCTCGACGTGCACAATGTGACACTGATAATGTGAAGGCCGTGTGGAAAGCTGACAGAGGTTCCAGTGGAGGTGGGCATTATTTTGTGGTCAAATATTTTATTAACAAAAAGAGACAAATATATAATTAATGTATATCACATTGCTATTTATTTTTACCGTTCTTCTGAGATAAAGATGTATGATGTCGCTTAATTGGAGGCTGAGTTTAAGGGGGAAACGGCAGCATTTTGTGGTGGCCGGTCGTTGAGTTGGCCTCTTATTAAGTTGTGACGTGCTGCTGCACACAAATGAGTCTCCCCCTTCAAAACATGGTGCTGATAATACTTGACAAGCTGTCCTGTGATTTTCCCACATGTTCTTACATGTGCACACCAGAGTCTCAGACTTCTGAAGTTTACAAGCAAACCAACGCCTTCTGAAGCTCCAGGTTTTAGCATCAGTGTGCCGGCTTACACACAGCAGTCACCTAACCACTCATCTTTGGCCTTCAAGTGCTGCCACAGCCCTGGCAACGGGCAAACCAGGGGTCAAGTAAACCTCAGCCTCATCCCTGGATGCACTTCTCTTCCTCCCTGTTACCACCAGCCTTTGAGGAAAAAAAGCCCTCCGGCCAAATTCCAAACTACTGAAATTACCTTTACCTGAGACGGGGATGCAACAAATCTAACAAACAGGCCTGCTTAGGTCGAAGGTAGAAATGTAAAGCTAAATGCTCTATCAGACAGATGTGTGCCATATTCCCTCAAATACAAGTCAATGTCTTTATTTACTTCAGTGAATGACCATACCAGGCTTTGCTGAATAAACAAAGTAGCTAAATGCACTAAAAAAGGACTGGGTGACACGCTGTGACTGCACTGTAGCCCTACCGCTCTTAAATGGAGATGTGCATGCATGCTACCTGCAGAAGTTTACCAGACTAATTCAAAGTGTTTCAGATTGAGAGAATCAAAGTTCACGGATGAAAAATAACATGATAATGAGTGCTAGACCCAGTGCAACGAATCATTAAAATACTTTTTTTAAATTCGATCATTTCTTTTAGATAAAAAAAACAGGGTTATCAGACACTGCAGATTCCTGTTGATTTTACTTGTGCACCTCGATACCATCTTTACAACCCATGAAAACCCAAAAAGTGTAGATTTACAACTGCTGTAAATCTACCAGTAACATCAAAAACATTTAATAATACTTCCCTTCTCCTGAAGCCGTTGCTGTTGGTGCATGGCAGCTTTGCAACGCATCGAAGTGAACCTTTAAGAGAAACCTGTTATTTTATTTGAGGAAATATGGCAGTTAATGCTATGAAGATTAAACTGTGCCAAAGTGAAAAAGCAAGAATAGTTATAAAACTAATGTATACAGTCGTCTTCTTGTGTACAGACGAATATATGACCAAATACTAACTGTTTATTCACTTCAGTGGTGATACTATGGACTATTTCTGAACAGATCAGAAGTATATATTGCAAACAATGGAAAAAGAAAACACTACAATTATGAAGTAGCAGTTTAAGTCATTGCATCTGAACATGTTTGTGTGTTTGTTGCTCAGAGGAGCTCACACGCAGATTAACGTGACTATTGTACATACTCCTCCACTGTGGGCACGTCCTCACAGTCACCTTTGACCCTCAGTCCCTTGGTCTTCTATCCTTTTCCTTGTTTGACCCCAGCAAACCGACTTTTTTCCCTACTTGATCCCTCACCCCGCTTGCTCCGATGGATCAAACTGGCTTTACGGGTGTTTCCATGGTAACCACAATGTAAATAGTAACTGGTGTTGTAAGTCCTGGGTTTTATTGTTGCAGAGGAGCCGATGAGACTGAAACAAGAGGGACAAATGATGGAGAAAAGGTGCGATAATACTGTCTGTGATGGTAAAACAGAGATTCAAGAATGTTTTGGGTGTGATGCAATGACAGAAGTAACAGGAAGAGGTTTATTTTAAATGTGAATATCTTTTTCTTTTCTTTTTTTTTGTTCAGAATGACTTTGCAATACTTTATATTATATTTAATATTACTTGTCGATTACCCTTTCAGCCCCGCTGTTTTGTTCTTCAGATGCAAGCCAGATATTTTTTAACGTATATATATGGTTGTTTTACTTGCACAATGTTTACGTGGTGTTGTGTTGACCTCTGTAATGGGCTGGGTGTGTCACGGTAAGTTGTTTGATCTTTGAAGATTGGTCTGAATTGTTAGAGCCACAAAGTATCAATAGCTCTAATTGATTTCTCATTCCCACTGATCACCCACGATGTGTCTGATTGATTCAGCCCTACAAATTAGCAGCACTATCGTAGAATCAATCTCGGCTGGTGTCTGTGCACAAAGATGCACAAATACTCAAGAGGAATTAGTCTATGAACAAAAGGGACTTTTTCTTTCTATGTGAATGTACAAATGCAAACTCTTATTCCACTTCCTGTTGGCATCATTGAATCCTTTTTGTATCTTATTATTGAAACTTGTGCTTCTATCTATAGAAAGTACCTAACTGCATAATGTGAATGACGTCCTCAGAGACTATGTATAAGTCTAATTTAAAAGCAACTTATTAATCGTAAATTATTGCTTTGCCCCATGATTTATGAAACCAGCAGTCTAGAGCTGTTTCAAACATTTTCATGGACAGATTTAAAGATTATATAAACACAGGATCAAGCTGGGTCAGCCTGGCTGAAGCCATTCAAGGACAACATATGCTGTTCATTGTGATTAGAGTTCTGGTGTATTGTGCAGATTTGTGTATTCCCATAAGTCACAAATGAGGACATATCAGTGTTTTTTTTTTTTTTTACATTGCATGATCGAAATGTTGGGCCTGTCCATAGCATGCCCATGTTGGAAAAGAAAATCAAAGCTATGAAATGTGAAGAACTGTTTCCCACCACACTGTGAATCACTACACTGTCCCCTTTGTCTCTTCATTGTCCACCTTAAACTGCCCACCAACACAAACCTTGATGAATTAGCTCAGTGTCTCATAAGCATACCAAACTCTAGTATAGGCAGATTACTGCCATTAATCTTTTCAAGTCATACATCTATAAATCCTCTTCTCTGAGATCAGCTTTACAGCCAGAGTAGAATGGCCATTCTGTTGTCACAGATCCATGTATAATTTGTTTAGAGACACAGTATTTCTCCACTTAAAAAAGAAAAAGGTAAGTCACTGCCTTTCATAGTGTTTTTCTTTTTCTAGACTTTTGTTTTGTACATGACATACAGTGTTTTAATCTGCATATGTATGTGTTTGTGGAAAGAAAAAAAGATGGTGGTATTTCATAATTATGATCCTAATGTTTTATAATCTTCTACCTGTACAGCAATAAAGCACAATTGTGTCAATGCCATTTCTTTTGTATGTGTGGAAGAGTCGGAAAAGGGAAAAAAGCTGTTTTATTTCCCTAAACTTGGTATTCAGTACGTGCTGTGTGCTTTGTAGTTGGTACTCTTGTGCCCTGTGTTGTAGCTGTCCATCCAGTCACGTTTTAGTGAACCAAAACCAGATCATTGCAGATCTTCAGTGGGGTTTGCACTGAATAAACTATGTTCTCTGTCTAAAGCACCCACACACAAAAATGGGTTAGACTCGAGTGCACATTGCAACCTTCCTCAGATTAGGTCAAGGAGTTGCACATGAGGCTATAGATTAGATTTTCAGTTTCTATTTTAACCTTTTTTTGCACTCAGATGTTTACTCTTGTGCAAGTGTTTGTCTGAGTTTAAAGTACAATTTCACCTACTTGAGTCAAACCTACAGGAATACAGATCAACTTTTATCCTTCAATAAGACATCAACCACCATGATGATCGCCAGTTCTTAATCCACTCAGAATCAACCTGATGTGATCCTGTAATTTATATTAGCGAGTCAGGGAAATTGGACTCCTTGCCTGATTGACTGATTTATCTATGGGGATATTGACCCGCAGATGACTGATGATTCGTCCTATAAACGCCACAGATGTGTGTGACTGTTCACACACACACACACACACACACATGTTTGTGTGTGAGTTATACAGAAGTGACCTCTGTTGCCCACTCCTGAGACTGATGCCTTTGACTAAGGATGAGCTGCACAGCATATCGAGTAGATACAAAGTTTCCGAGTACAAAGTACGATTAAGAGCAGCTAAATAAGTAAAATACATATCCAGATTGAAAATGGTCAAGCTGCTATATATAGCGAAGTCATTTCTAAAATCAGGTTAAGGTAGCATTCCAAAAAGTAAGACCAGCTTAGGATCAGCAATCTTTGAACAAGAGCGGCCTGTCTCAGGATGTCAGGAGGGAAAGTGTGCAAGATTATATCCTCTGTTAAATGAATGAAGGCTGTATTATGGCATGACTTTCAAGAGCCCTTGGTCGCCAATAGCTGACAATATGAGTGTGCTTTCAGCTCAGAATCTGCCAAAAGAAACAAAGCTGATTCAAAGCCTTTTTTAAAAACTTGGGTTGTGGGTTATTCTGCAATCGGCAAGTTTCGGTCAAGCTGCAGTCAGAAATGCCAGTGAGTTTCAATCTTAGAGCAAAATCAGGCCTGGAGAGCTATAGATTCCAGTGAAAAATCCGAAGGAAGTGTTGTTTCTCAGGATGAAAAGGCTGTTTTTTCAATATGTCATCTAATCAACGTTGGCTTCTGTTTAAAGATCAGGTCTGAACAAGCACAAGTCAATTAATTCTCTGTCGTAATCGAAAGGAATGTTTCTTCCAAGCAATAGCCAGTGGGAAGAGTCACCTCTGAGTGTGGGAGCTTGTGTTTGAAGTGAATGTGTCAGTGTGTGTCACTGTAAACAGCTTGTACTGAAGGGGGCTGACTCATGCTCGGCCGGGTGTGCAC